TTTCTTATTAACATAGTCATTTTAGATTATATATGTAACAACTGATATCTTTATAAATAAAATCAGAGTGAAAGAAAATTTGTGTTTATATATTTATTAGAAGGATGTTACATAATTAATCGAGATCTAATGGATACTATTTAACTAAAATAGCAAGTAAATGTAGGTAAAAAAAAGTCTGGATAAATTTGCAATTCAAAAGATAAATCGAATATGCAATGTTGAAATTTAATTGTAGAAATGATATAAAATAATGGACTTTTCGGTCAATAATACAGAGTTGAGAGGAATAAATTCCTTTTATGAGATAACTAGTATAAAACATTATTATTAGTATTAAACAGGATTAGTATAAAATAGGATTGTAAATGTATTATCACGTTCGCAGTCAATATAAATTTATCGATTTCTATTAATGTTGAGCAGAGCGCTCTACAACGATACGCGATATGTCACTGAGTTTGTATTTCATTTCCGCACTACGGTTGCACTAGAATTGAACGGTTAGACGACAATTTCCGGGCAACTGGGCCCGTGCGTGTACGTTGCTAGGCAACCGCCGACGCTCGCCGTGACATGTGGGGCGGACGTCGCGGGAAAGTCCGAGAACGCTCCGACTTTCGATATTTGATGGAGTGACAATCCTGAGAACTCTCGGTATTGTCGGGAGGAGGAAAATCTGAGAACATTCTGATTTTCCTCAGGCGGGAGATGCAAGAATATCGAGAACGCTCGGTATTTGTTGCGAGAGCGAGAAAGCTGAGAACACTCCGAATTCTCGAGAAAGGATAGAACAGGAATACGGAGAACGCTCGGTATTCGCTGAGAGAATCTTCTCTCGCTGTTTTGGTCGGAACGGTTGTCGGTGTTGGTCAGGTCGGAGGAGCGGATAGGACTGGTGTCTTGTCTAAAAAAATTCGTCGGGTATTTATACCCCTATCCGCGACACGTGTCACCGTTTGTTAATATAAGTTAATATAAGTTTGTTAATATAACAATAGCTGTCACGTTGTCGCTACGTGACAGCTCGTCGGCGCGCGTGTGTCGGTCGGTCGCGGTCGGGAGTGCTCGGGCGGCCTCGGATGGCGCGGGCCGCATTAGCGCGCGCTAGTAACAGAGCATCCGAAAGATGCTTTGTTACAAAATAAAATTCAAGTAATAGTTTCTTTAATTTAAAAATAATAAAAACTAAATTAAATGTATATCTTTCTATCTACTTTAAAAACTTTTTTTTTTTTTTTTTTTTTTTTTTAGATACTATTG